TATTTTGCCTGAAGTGTAGTCTTATCAAAGCAAAACTTCAGATATTTTTGCCTGAAATTTAGCCTGACTTGCAAAGGCAATCACGCAAACTTCAGTTCATAGTGTAATGGAAAACTTCAGTTCAATAATTACTGAGCTTCAGCAATTTTGGCTGAAATTTTTGTTTTGTAATTGCTGAACTTCAGCATTCTAGGAGCTGATGTTTGTTTAGTATCTGCTGAACTTCAACATTTTAGGAGTTGAAGTTTGTTTAGTATTTGCTGAACTTCAGCTCCTAGAGGATGCACTTCAGTTCAATAATTGCTGAATTTCAGCAATTTGCCTGAAATTTTTGTTTTGTAATTGCTGAACTTCAGCTCCTAGAGGATGCACTTCAGTTCAATAATTGCTGAATTTCAGCAATTTGCCTGAAATTTTTGTTTTGTAATTGCTGAACTTCAGCATTCTAGGAGCTGAAGTTTGTTTAGTATATGCTGAACTTCAGCATTTTAGGAGCTGAAATTTATTTAGTATTTGCTGAACTTCAGCTCCTAGAGTATGCACTTCAGTTCAATAATTGCTGAACTTCAGCAATTTTGGCTGAAGTTTTTGTTTTGTAATTGCTGAACTTCAGCATTCTAAGAGTTGAAGTTTGTTTAGTATCTGCTGAACTTTAGCATTTTAGGAGTTGAAATTTGTTTAGTATTTGTTGAACTTCAGCTTCTAGAGGATGCACTTCAGTGCTTGGGTCCTTTTGGGTAATATTCTAAGCAGTCAACTTGAACTTCCCGTCGTCCATCTTCATACCATGAGGAAGGTATCAGTGGGTTCATCAAAACTTTGCCATAATGGCTTCCCTGGCAAATCATCAATTAAACCAAGTTTTCTGAATCCAAGAGCTTCGCTTTATGTGAATAAGATACACTTGTGCCTACTTGTGTTCAGAAATATGAGTTCCTTGAAGTTGTTTAATATCACCCGAAGAAGAAGAAGAAGAAGGAGGAGGAGAAGAAGAAGAAAACGAAGGAGGAGAAGGAGGAGGAGAAAGAGGCCTGAAGTTGTTTAAAAAGTGGGTACAAGTTAAAATTTTTTTAAAAAGTGGGTATAGGTTAAATGGGGGCGACCAAATAGAGTGCCCCATGTAATTTTTACAATAATATAGGCCTAATTTTGAAGTCCATCAAAGACCCAATCCAAACTTACCATTTTATTCTAACTTACCAAAATTTTGAAAGAAAACCAACAAATTCGTCAGTCTAATTATTACATAGAGAGAGCCCAATATGATAATGTTCAAATCGAAAACCGATTAGAAATATATCGAACCGAAATTAGAAAATCAAACTGAACCGAACTTATTTTAGTTCGATTTCGATTACTACTTTTACAAAACCGAAAATCAAATAACCGAATCGAATTTTTTCAAACCAAACCGAACCGACCGAACGCCCACCCTATGTATAGTTTCGAATGATAAAATGTCACGTAATTTTCTCTTTAAAAAAAGGTGGGAAAGAAGCATAAGACGACTAAGAAGTAGTTCGTGAAAAGGACACCACCTCTAAGATTTGCTTTTGGGCCCCTGCATTAATTTCCAATGTACATATTTACCTTCTTTATTTTTGGCCAAAAGAATTCTTGAATTTCTAGACAGTTGTTGGCATTATTGCTCAGTGGTTATCAACATTATTGAAATGAAGAAGCTTTCCTTCTGATTTATAAAATTATTCCAAAATAGTCTCTATAATACAACCAAGCCTATATTTGTTTTTTTTTAAAACTTGTCTAATTAATCCACTAATTTTATAATTTTTTACCAGTAATTTGAATTCATTTATAACTTCAATGTGTGAGTACGAATGCAACGTTACTTTCCAAAATAGACCGGATTGAATAGAAAGTAAAACTATATACGTTTTGATTCCCATACATAAATTTAATCTAGAAGCAAACTCTTATAGTGAAATTATATTTTCGCTTTGGGTAGGCCTAAAGGGAAAGATATAGATATATTGATAGCTCTATATTGATTTTATAGCTACAACATATATAAGTCATATTTTTTTGGTGAAAAAATGTGATTACTATCTTTGGAAGCTAATATATACCTAATATGAATGATGAAAATAACTTACATATGATAAGAAAGTAAAACAAAGATACGTTAATTAATCATGATTAAATGAGAAAAATGTACGTTTAAACATATATTATGAATTTATTGATTAGTGAAACACCTTATGGCGATAAATTTTTACTGATATGTACTAAAATTTCTTCGATAAAAAAGTGGACCAGTTGGCTAGATTCATCAAATGTTATGTAATGGACGGTTGTGATGAAAGGAGTAAGTAGCCAAAGCATGTGATGGATAAAAAAGCACAAAATTAAATAGTTCACCTGCCAAGACTTTTAGTTCTATTGACTAAATTTTATTATATATTTTTTAATTTCTACCCTTCCCAAAATAAAAAGAAAAAAGGTATAAAATCATGAATACGTGAAACCCAACTCAAAGGTAATGTGTTAGCCGACCAAGTTGGACACCTTTTTTTCCATATTGTTCTGCTCCCCAAATCTTTCATTTTCTTAGAGTCCTTTTTTCTTTTTCTTTAATTTTGAAGAGGAGAAAGGAGAAAAGGTTACAACTATTGGTGAGAGTTGCACATGCATTATTTAGATGTAAAGTGAAATTACAATTTTTCTATTTTTTTGCTTTTTTATATATATGATTTTTATTTTTCTAAGTTAAAAAGATAGCTCAATAAATAAAATGATAAAATATTCTGCATTCATGTAGGATCCCAAGAAAGGCTGCACCCAAAAAGTATGATATAAATAACATATTATAATGTAAGTATTAGTGATTGTTTTCATGGTTCGAATGCATAATAAATAACATAATTCCTTTTGACCAACTAAACGTGGAGGATAGAGATTTTGGGATGCGAAGATAGTGAGATTTTCATTTAAAGATTAGCTTTTGGTAGGGGCAGAGCATGTGTTTTCAAATCAATTGGTAAGTCCAATTAAGTGTGGTAAAAGGACTACTACTCACAAGTACAACGAGAGGAAGGTGAATTTGGTTGCCCCCATTGAATATATTCTCTAGTACATACTCCATCTCGACAATTTGTTTGACATAATTATAATTTTTAACAATTTAATTCTTTACTATAATGAGATGTTTTCTCTTTCAAATAGTTATTTAATCACTATTTAATAAAGCCATCAACAACTTATGTACTTCAAAAAAAATGAAGGATGTGACAGCTTATAGTATTTCTTAATTCTTAAGCATCAGAATAGAGTGGATATTTAACTTAATGTATCCAAATAATAGACATAATCAATTTTCATTTTTAGGTGTAGTTAAGAAAACTTAATTTTGAAATACATACTCTATATCATATTTTGTTTTAGCCGTCAGTTTTATTTATTCGAATGTAATTGAAACATGAAAATGGTAAAATTTATAAATTGGGGATTAGTAAATTTAACTACTTGAAACGCAAGAATTAAATTGGTTTCTAAGAGTATAATAATCTAATCTATTTAATTTTTTGAAGATTCAAAAATGTTAAAAATTACAAGATGAGAATTATTAATGTTAAAATTGGGTTAATTCCTAAAGAAAAAAAATATTCTGTTTTGTGCTGCGAGTCGTGCAACAATACTAGTGTTTTATAACTGGAGAATAATTGTGTTGCCAAATAATTTACTTCTTTCGTCCATTATTTAATTGGATATTGAGTTTAAATTATTAACTCAATAAATAGTTGAACAAAATATAAAATGATAATTGAAAAGTCAGATCGATAAAGAAAGCTTCACATTAAAATTTAAATTAAATATTTGAATTCTTAAAAGTTTAACAAAAATTGTATTACGATATGTTTTATATACAGACTTTCATCATCTAATCATCATTGATAATTAGTAAACATTCTTACCTTACTTTATTACTTAATAGTAACTATTAACATAATTTGGTTAAACACCGTGGTGTAACTTTATTTGAGGAATCAGAAATAGTGACAGCCATTTTGGGGGAAGAAAGCTGAGTTAAAAATGAGAACCCTAGTCAGTGCATACCATGTCATAGTGGGACCCTCAATGTAAAATCTTGGAATAGATCTACGGTCAGAAATGGGTCTCTAATGTCCAATGAGTGTGACACACATCGCACCAAATCAAGCTCCTTCAAAGAAGAATACCTACTATATTGTATTAAAATATAAATATTTCACTTATCCTATACCTGAATTTTTTAAATAAATATATTAGGCAGGAAAGAGAGAGAAAAAAGAAGGTTATGAAAAGGTTGAAACAAACTCTCTTTGTTTCTTTCTTCTCTTTTGTTGTTTTCTTGCCCTTGCTTTTTCATTCCATTTTAATTTATGATTATTATGTTAGTAATTTTTAAAGCCACAAGAAAACTAAATGCTACCTAAACTTGATTTTTTTCTAAAAGAATACGATGAAACGTAAAATCGATTATTGATCCAATTTGAGTACTTTTGTAGAATATACCTCAACAGAAAACTAAAAAATAACGACAGCAAGTGATCGAGTTCAGTTCATTTTTTCCTCAAGAAATGAGCAGTTGGTTGATCTTGCCTTTTCTATTTCATTAATTCATAATATTATGTCATTTTTAATCCATAACAAAATTAAATTCAATCTAAATTTGATCCCTTTTCTATAATAATTTCTAAAAATTTTCCCCTCAAGAAGTGAGCAATAGGTGGGGCAGGAAAATTTGCACATGTTAGGGAGTTATCATAAAAGTCTATAGTCAACAAGGACATTACTTAGCAATATGTAATTATTCATCAAACTCACAAAGTCCATTTTTAGAAAACAAAATAATTAATATAAAATTTTCAACAATAAAAGAATTACAACATCAAAAGTTAGTTCTATTTTTTTAAAAAAAAAAATTCAAAAACATTTACAAGGAAAGATCAAACATTTACTTCAAATACAAATTTACAACAACAAGAAGTCATACATACATTATAAAAACAACCCACCCACTCTTCCTTCCCTTCCCCATTTCACCTTCCTTTTCACAACCATTTATTAGATTCCTCTTTAATGGACTTTTCTTTTCTTCACTCTATTGTACATATTCTTAGCTGAAAAACAAGAAAACCCATCTCAAATCCTTTCATTACTTGTTCATAATCTTTTGCTGTTTTCAGTGGTTTTTTTCTGGGACTTAAAATTACAGACTTCTTTGAGTCTTGTTGGATTTTGTTTTTTTTTTCTGCATAATTTTCTGTGTTTATTGCAGAAAAAAAAGCTTTTATTCCAGTAACCATATATGTATTTGTTATAATCAAAACTTATAGATATACAATTATAAAAAAATTGTATATTTCTTTTTACCAATTTCTTAAGCAAGAAAAGAACTTTTCTTCTTTTTTACATTTTCAATTTTTGTAAAAATTAACTAAGGGAGAAAAAAAAATATTGGACAGATGGGAAAGCAAGGACCTTGCTATCACTGTGGTGTTACAAGTGAGTTAATGATTCTTGAATGTATTTAAAAAACAATTTAACCATAAAGTTCTTTAATTTTTGATAAAAATGGAGTCTTTTTTGGCTGTTACAAGTATAGAATTGTTCTTTGTTAGTCTATATGATGTTATTTGCTTAGATTAGTTGTTCAATTATGAAACTGGATACCCATATGGTGGTTTCTTCAAAAAGGGAAAAAATTTATCAGGACAATGAACAATAATAAGTAATATGTGCTGTTATTCATCTTATAAAATTTGGTTTTGAGTTTTCTTTATTGCGTTGTTTCCAAGATAGGCTGCAAATAAATTCTGGATTTCAATATGGGTTTGAGTTGGAATTTATTTCTGAAACTGGGATTCCTTTTGGTTTCCAATCTTGTCAATAGAGTCTTTCAGTAAGTGGGCAATTTAGAGCTCAATTTAATTCCATTGTTTTCCAATGCAATTGGGAGATGTTTTGATTGTGTTGAGTTATGTATTCTTAGCCTCCATTTGCTTCATTTAAAAATAAACTTTATGGGAAGAAATGCATTTTTTGGTTTGACTGATTTCTTGCTGAAAATGGCATTGATATGGTTCTCTAGGGAATGAATGCAGCAGAAAAATGAATAGAAAATGTTGGCTTGGTCTGTTTCTAAATACATGTACCTGATGTTTGTGCTGTTTTAGTAGCATGTTCTTAATGAATGCCTTGTATAGCAAAGGGTTGAGGTTTTCTCTCCGGATATTTCGTTATCTTAATGAACCAAGTTCGTTGTTTTCAACTTAATAAGGCCTTAGACTCTCCTGCTTCACTTGTACTCATTATCCATTTGTTTAAAACCTCCTAGTGTTTGCACTACAGTCAAAAGCAGCAAGATCCTCCGGGCATTTGATAATATCTTGTTGACCTTATTGTCTTTTGCTGGATATGTTACTCGCATTCATGCTGTAATAGTTCAAGGTGTCTAGAAAAGACTTGATACATCGGTAACTCTCTCAGAGGTTGATGCTACAGAAAATAATAATAGCTGACATTTGCATTCATTCCTGTCATCCACTGGTGTAACACATTTTGCTGCAAAAATGGTGATAAACTGGGTTGGATAATAATTTGAAACTTGGCTAGTCTGTATAGGAAGCACATTGTTCGAGGGAATGTAATGTCTCGAAGTACATAGTTTTAGATGTCTGTCACTGTCATATGCTACTGCTTTATTGCTAATCTGTCTAGTTTAGCTTCTCATTGTGCTGTTCTGACTCCAGCTTAGTTGTTGAATAGAAAGGTTCATTTTAGGTTTCCCCGACAGCTCCATAAGTTCTCTCCTAACACTGATTAACGAGTTACTCTCCTAACACTGGTTCACGAGTTATCTAGTTTGTCTCTTTATTCAGGTCCTCAAGTGTTTCTTGCTCGTGCAATTTAGGGAACAAAATTGGTTGTCTTCTTAGTTATTTCTTAGATTCTTAATTTGCTCTCTAATTCATGTCAATGTCTTGTTTCTTGCTCGATGAGGTCTTCTTCACAGGAATCAGTCTCCTAGTTATATAGGAAAGGTTTAGTTTCTTAATCAAGTTAAGTGCATTTGGAGGAGATGTTTGCTCTTTCAATTAGAGTCCTAACTCGAATATCTACCTATTACATCCTTCTTCTTTCTTGCCATGCTTAGGAATGCGGGAGCATTCTGCAGTGGATATACCATTACTTACCTTTTTCATTTATGCACCACTCTGTCCAATGGTCTTCATCTTCCCCGACACAAAAATGCTTGTTGAAATTTTGATTACATGCTTACAGTAATATTTTGTCGTGGGATGAGCAAGATGTTTCTATAATAACGTTCAATTCCAGATTGTCAGATTTCTTAGATGCCTCTCATTCTTCCCACATTATGTACTTGGAATACAGTCTTAAAATGGTGAATTCATGGTGCAGGCACCCCTCTTTGGCGTAATGGACCACCAGAAAAGCCAATTCTTTGCAATGCATGTGGATCTCGATGGAGAACAAAGGGGACACTTGCAAACTATACTCCTCTGCATGCAAGGGCTGAACCAGATGACTTCGAAGATTACAGGGTCTCAAGGTTCAAAAACTCGCCTGTGAAGAACAAGGAGGTGAAGGTGCTGAAACGAAAGAAAAATCATGATAATCCTGAAATTGGAATTCTTCCTGATTATAATCAGGGCTTCCACCGTAAGGTTTTAGATGAGGATACAAGCAACAGGTCAAGTTCTGGCTCTGCCGTGTCAAACTCTGAAAGCTGTGCACAATTCGGTAGTGCTGAAGCAAGTGATTTGACAGGTAGATTCTTTACCTATGCAGGCCTTGCAAACAGAAACATTAAGCTGCATTCTCTCTCACATAAACTGCCAACTCTTTTTACCTATAAAAACAAAACTGCCAAATCTCTTCTCCTCCTCCCAAAAGGTCTGTTTTCTGTTACTTTGAAAGCCATTCTGTTTGATAGAAGTTGATGACTTCTATCTCAAAATATAGATCTATACATGAATAAAACTTTTGATAGCTAGCAGAGAAATTATACAGGTGGTCATCGTTTGATTTTGCCTGCTCCTTTTGTTCTATTTCTATGATCAGTTATACCAGTATATTCTACTGCACCTTCTCCAGTGGTAAAGCTGTATTTTTTTCTTTCAATCAAACTCCTGAGCTCTAGAGTTTCTTGTGTTCTATCTTTGTATCTGATATCTTTTGTGAATCATCCTTCCTGCGTTTTTGTTTTAATAAAACCTTTTGCTGAATTCTCACTCATCGGGTAACTAATAGTTGCATGACCCCTTTATGCTTTCAGGTCCTACCCAATCAAATATATGGGAAGGGATGGTGCCTTCAAAGAAGAGAACCTGTGTGGGTCGTCCAAAGCAATCTTCAGTTGAAAAGCTTACCAAAGACCTGTATACCATCTTACATGAACAACAGTGTTCATACTGGTCTGGATCTTCTGAAGAGGATTTGCTTCTTGAAAGTGACAAGCCTATGGTCTCTGTTGAGATAGGACATGGAAGTGTGCTAATTCGACATCCAAGTTCTCTAGGTCGAGAAGAAGAATCAGAAGCCAGCTCTCTATCGGTTGACAACAAACACCACTCTTCGAATGAGGCTTATTCACAATTGATTACTCCATCTGTACATATTAATAAGGGTGTCAATTCATCAAACCTGGTAACTGAGAGAGCTAAGAAGCCTACTGGTCAAGACCAGATTAAAAGGTGCTTTCCTCATTGTAGCTGGATAGCATATAGCCACAAGAAAGGATATAAAATGTTAAAATGCATAACTGTTCTGCTATTGGTTGACGGGGTATGGTTACACAAATAGACTGATGTGGATCAGAAACTTATATTAACATGATATGGTCCACATTTTCCGTGCAGCTTCTCAATTATAGAATGCTCGCGGTGGTTTCAGTTCCATAATTGAATAGTCAGAGCTTCGATACTATTTTCTTTGTGATGGTGTCTAGTTTCCATCTTTCTGATTTCATCTTGAACTGCAGGAGCAAGGATCAGCTTGAAAATTTGCAGATTCTTGGACATCATAATTCGCCACTATGCTACATAGACCTTAAGGTATCCTGCTATCTCTTAGATTTCATACAAATAACAACCATAGCATGCTTCCTACAGCGTCCACTTGTCTTTACAGATGGAACATTTTTCTATTCCACACTATTTTTCTACATCTCTGGCTCCGGAGTTGGGGATTCTTTTTGTAGATTTACATTTATCTTCTACTTTTGATTATCAATATGCATTACCTTTGACTTTAAAATGCTTATATCATGGTATTTTGCATGGAAATGCTTCCTCTATAATGGTAAATAACCATTTTCGAGCTTGTTTTTTTTACCATGTGTTTAGTTGTTAATTGTTACTTTAAGAATCTAAGCATGGCTCTGCAGTTTACTCTTTCCCAGATAAGCAATACACAAATAAATGTGATTTTGGACAATGCTTGATGCAGGATGTACTTAATTATGAAGAATTCATAACGCATCTGTCAAGTGATGAACAACAGCAACTACTAAAGTACTTACCTCCTGTTGATTCTTTTTCACCTCCCGAGAGGTTTGTACAATCTCTTTCTATTTAGGATCTTACGAGAACATTTGACTTAAAAACAATTCAGAAAAGTTGAGGAATGAACTTATCTTTTGAGTGAGAGGCTTATTACCGGAGCTTACGTTTTTAATTCACTCTCTCAATTGTGCTAGTTGGGCATTAGAAAAATAATTGATGGCTATGTTGAACTTGAACCATAACCTACTTACTGATGGTTGATAGAATGAATGCATTGTCCAGCTCTGATCTTATTCCCATTTTTAATTCTCTCTGCAGTCTCAGGAGCATGTTTGAGAGTTCTCAATTTGAGGAGAATTTGTCTTCCTTCCAGAAACTTCTTGCAGAAGGTGTCTTTGATAACTCGTTATCTGGGGTGACAATAGAAGATTGTAGAACGTTGAAGAGGTTTACTTTGTGCTATTTAATGAAGTCAAAGTGGGTGGAACAATATCTTCTTAAGGTACGATCTTGCTTATGATTTGTGATATGAAAATTCAGTGAGTAATCCACTCCTTATATGTTACATTTGCTAAACAGAAGTTTAAAGCTAATCTGCTTTTATGTTAGGACATGAAATGTAAAAATAGTAGCAGTACTTCTGAAGTTGCAGGAGGGCCCAGTGTTATTGGCACAGGTCATTCAGGGAACATGAAGAGACCACACGATGGGCAACGTCCAAGATATTCAGGTTCTTTGCATCTCTCTTTTATTATTTCCTTTATGACAAATCCTCGTGTGGTAGACTTGCTTCTGTTTATAACAAAAATTTACCTTAAAATACTTTCTTCTTCTGTTCCTGAGAGAGTAGTAAACATTTACTTCTCGGGTTTTTATCTTCATGAAAAAGCTAGAGTAGGCGGTCACGTGGTAATATGTAGAAGTTGTAGAAACTGCGGAAGGAGGATCAGAGAATCTTGAGCATGGTAGGTATCTTGGCATTCATTAGTGTCTGGCTTTGATGCACTGAGTTGACTGATTTCTCCAACTATTTTATTGTACACGTCTTTTGTTATCTAGCTGGTAACAGGATATGTTCATGTACAATGGCCTATTATCTTCCAAATATGATTTCTCAGGAAGCCTGGTTCGTGCATTGTGACGATTAGGAGGAAATGCACTAATCAAAAATGAAATCAGTCCATCTCAGCATCTCTTCCTATTTCTTCCCATTTCTTTTCTTCTTTTTGCTATTATATAGGGCTCTCCATCCTGGAAGATACCTTATATTAGTAGAAGGCAACTATTTGTGAAAGTCATAACTCGCTATGATTAGGTAAGCGTTACACAAGTTCAGTAGGAAAATCAGTGTTTGCCGGGCCACCTTACTCCATCCCTCCGTGCCACCATAAAGGGAAAAATATAATAAATGGTATGATAATGGATAAGTACAGTTTTTTAATTGTACATCATTTATATCAAGCATTTGTTCTATGTGATATCTTCTTCGACATTTCTGAAGCTAAACTACGAGCAATTTTTCTTATGGAATGTACTTTTTATACCAATTCCCACCCAACCACTACTAATTTGGGATTGACGTATTGTTGATTGATTACAACAAAAACAACAACAAACCCAGTAAATTCCCACAAGTGGGGTCTGGGGAGGGTAGTGTGTACGCATGCAGCAGAGAGGCTACTTCCGGTTAGATCCTCAGCTAAAGAAAATACGAAACAAAGCGTATAGTTGATTGATTGTTTTCAAGAAACTAAAACTACTGTAGCTCCAATTTTGCATAGTGTGTGCTTCGAGTTGCTTTAATTCAGATGGAACTGAACTTATAAGTCGAATTTTGCTTCAGGGGCAAACACAACAATGAAGAGCCCCAAGAGGATGATGCTGAAAAGCAGTTATGAACAGAAGGAAATAGTAGAGAATGATAGCTCTTGCTTCAGTCCAAGAAGCCTATTTGCATTGCCTACAGAGAATTCCTTCCGTTTTGCAAATGAAAGTTCTGATCAGGACTTGCTGCTGGATGTGCCATCTAACAGCTCCTTCCCTCAGGCAGAACTCCTCCTACCAACAGCAAGTTTCGCAGCTCAAGCAAGCACTAGTAGTAGCTCCGTATACCCACAACTCCTCCGGCCATAGTAACACTATCACACTTAGCTTTCTGTCTGTAGGGTATTTACAAGGTTCTTGGGCCAAACCACATGACTATCTCTGCATGTTCCTTGTCAAATATATAAATGTCTCGCGAAGGGGTTTGGATGGTTGCCTTTTACCTTTTTCCCGGTAACCTAATATAAAATGAAATTTTGGATTTAGCGGATGGATATGTTTGTTTTTTTAAACCTTTTTTGTATAGGTTGTCAAGCATTGTACAATATAGCTGAAAATGCAGAGGTGGTGATGTCTAGATATTTTGTATGCACTAAAGTTTTAACCTCAAATTGAGACCCCCTTCTGTCTGTTAGTTTTGCTGAATGAGTTTTTCTGTAGGATCGTCAAATGTCAAAAATAAAGGACTTTGTCCTTGTCTACCCTCCTACCAAACATTTCAAATCCTGATATGTCTGATTCATTGGCTTTAAGGCTGAATAATAGGGTTACCTTAAGAGAACGACACCACGAATTGTTTCTCTAGTATTGTAGTATTAGATGAAAATTTTGAATTTCGGCAGTCGGCACCAATAAGATTCCTCTAACTGAATTAGGCAATGTCAGATCTTATCTTTGAAGTTGCTTAAAATTTATGTTAATACCTAATCAGTCACCACCTAATTTCCATCCCATACAGGAAAAGTTACTCCCACCTTTTGGTTATCCTGGCGTAATGCAACATAGAAGACAACAATAACATACTCAGTGTAGTCCAACAAGTGGAGTTTAGGGAGGGTAGAGTGTATGTAGACCCTACCCCTACCTTTAAGAAAGCAAAGAGGTTGTTTTCGGTAGACCCTCGACTCAGGAAAGATAAAGGGAAGGGGCAATAACAAGCAAATCAATTGACAAACCAAAACGAAAATACAAAACTAACACTAGGTAATGCAACATAGAAGCAAACAACAATAATAATAATAATGCAGGGATGGGGAGGGGGGTTCAGTAAAAAATATTATCAAATCATAATGATTCAAGGCCAAATTTGACCAGGCTCATTTAAGACGGAGGTGTCTGGATCAGCCTGCACACACCTCAACTATTTCATCAAACACTCGTTACCCTCTTCCAGTAGGTATGGGAAACCCAGCCCACCAAGACTGACTATTTCACCGAACTCTTATCTTCTATCAACAAAGGTATGGGTTGGTAGCTCTGCCACTAAGGCTCGTCTACAATTTTTTTTGACTCCGTTAGGATTTGAACCTTGATCTTCCCTTGTTTTAATCTTATTCATTGACTGCTACGCCTGCACAATTGTCCTTACAAGTATGCAGTGTAGTTGTTTGAATAGCGCAAGTTTATGTTTGGAAGGCCGTAAACTACGAGGTTTTAAGTCTTCTTGGTCTTTTACAATGTTGAATTTAAGAGAATGTCTTTTTTAGATCTCTTATTTGTAAATGAAAGATCTCTTATGTGTAAAAGTAAATCTCCTATGTGTGAAAAAAAAGATAGGGTCATAAAACTAAAAACAAGTTTGTAAAAGGCCAAAAAACAAATTGACCCGTAAACTACAATGATGTAATTCTACAATATGATAATGGTACACGATGTTTTCTTTCGTAAAATAGGATTTTACTTAAAAGGAAGATTGAATAAAATTGAATTCAAACAAACATGGAGGTGCAAAAGTTAACACTTCTGTTAAAATCCATTTTCCTTTAGCAGTTTAGAGTTAAGATCACTGGTCCACCTCAACTTTACAAAAAGAAGCAAAGTAACACAATTTGCTAAACCATTTTGATAAGCAACGCCAGTTCTTCATAAAAGAAAGGAACAAGTTCTATAAGTATCTACTTCAAGGTTACCAAATTAATGAATCTGTACAACTACAACATCATCTCAGAAAGAGAAAGCAGTACAAAACCTCCATCTGCTGGTGATCAAACACTTCAAAGATCTCTTCTTGCATATGGTTGACATACCACCAATCCAGCATTACCTACATCAAATCTATAAGCTTTTAGCCTAACATAAAATTCACCTGGGATCCAAAATCTCTAAGATTCAGCACTGCCGCAAAGAATCATATTATACATCCATTCAAGCTCTTCATTCCGTAATTAACATATTCTTGAAAGCAAAGCACTAGTTTAGAGTATCATCTAATGCTTTATAAATCTTTAGTAAATGGTGAAGTCAACCCGTTAAACGTGTAGCTCCAGCCAGGATGATTGAGAAAGATTTACCAATTTGAACTACTAATATCCCAATAGTAATAGTATCTTAAGGGTAGAAAGTCAGCAACCATAGCATAGGCTATTACCATGACACCTCTATCTGAACCATCAACAGACAATTAGCGATCAAATAAGCAGTTAGGGATAACCCTTCTATTTCCTGAACTCTTAAAAACTTTGTACATTAACAAACGCCAAATCTCCCCAAAAGTTGTACTTCCCTGAATATTGAATCAATCAGAAAATCCCTCCAGTGGCCACCATCTAGGCCGAGGAAAACTCAAACCGCGGGCCTTGGCAGTCTCAAAGAAATCAACATTCTTGTCACCACCACTAACATCCCCTACCACCATAGAGAAAGTTTCCACTAGATCCTTAAACCTTGTATTCTTGACTATTCTCCTCCCAACTTCTTCCACCAATCCAACATCCTTGTCTCCTCCCCTCATTGATAATGGCAATTCACGTCTTCCCTCAACACCTCCACAACCACTAACACCAGCACCAACACTTTCTGTTATCCCATTCGAATGCATTTCCTTGGCGCAAACACCATTCAACTTATCATTCTCATCTAAATTCATACTCTCCACACCTCTTCCACCACCATCACCACGGCTAATACCATCCTTCATCCCATTCAAATGCATTTCAACATAGCCAACACCATTCAACTTCTCATTGTCATCTACACCTCTTTCACCATTTTCACGCTTTTCTCCTCTATCTCCCTCCTCCTCACCTCTCTCAGACATTTTCACAGTAGAAGAATCCGCATTTCCCTCAATTCCACGCTCATTAACTTTCACATTTTCCTCACATTCTATCACTACCTCAGTATCAACATCCTGAGTCTGATCAATTTCAATCATAATCGGTCCTTTTTCATCTAATCTCCGAACTGAACTCTTCACATCCAAATCCTCATCAGAAACCCTAATCCTCTTCAGCATTCGCCCCTCAAACCCTAGGTCATCAGAATCATTTCCCAAATCTACAGCCGCCGAGTTATCATGATTAACAGCATCAGTATCATCATCGTTATGTTGAAAATCAACGGCTGCAGTACTCGTACTCGGTTTCAGTTCATCGGAGCCGGAAAAATAGGGCTGAGAGTTGGAGTTGTTGTGCTCCGGCGGGGTTTCGAATTCTTCGTTATCGTGAGGGGAACTTTGGCTAACGGAATCAGAAGATGGAAGAGATAACATGAGTATTCCGGTGGGCTCTGACGACGTTAATTTTAACGACGGTGAGGATTCTGGAGATTTCTCGTACTCATGAATAAGAGGGCAGTTTTGTAATTCTTCCTCAGCAGAGGGACGAGGTTCGCAATACTTGATAATTTGGGCTAATAGGTCTGGGTATTTCACTTCCTTCATTTTTGCAAAAACTCAGTTGGGGTTTGAGGAAGAAAGAGAGGAGGTGAGAGTGTAATTTGGGAGTGATTGGGGATTATTTTAGTAGAGAGGGTTTTATTTAACTATTAAAATATTCCCGCCTTTGTTCTCGACTCCCGCCTTTTACATCAACGGTCGTTAACCACTGTAAGACGATGTCGTTTAAGTCCCCGAGGGGGTAAAAACATTCTTTTTGGTCTTTAAGTATGTTTTCTGTGGACCAATGCCCCAATTAATTTAGATTCATACAGAAAGATCCACTAAAGAAAGAGATCTTTATACAAATAAGTGAATGTTTGCTTTTACTGGTCGGGATATATAAATTATATACTTATTATATATAATTATATATATATTATACGTGAATTATATATTTATATTACATCCGCTATGTATATTTTGTTTATACAGTTAAAACGGACAACTATTTAAGTTAAATCTTCTAAAGAGAACTCTGCATCGATTTTTTATTTTTATTTTTTATATTCAAACATGAAACATCTAATTAATGGCAGAGAGAAATTTACAATCTCATCACGCCTCCTTGGTGATAATATTATTTTTTCATTTTATCTCTAATTATTACTTTATTTTTATTTGATATAAGGAATTCGATTAGTGTATTATCTCAAATCGAATGCCTTGTCTTTAATTCATAGTACAATAAGTGAGAACTTGTTACAAAATGTGGATAAGTGAATTTCGATGTATGCAAACAACTTTAATTTCACACTTTATTTGTATGAATACTCTATGGTTATTTAGTGAATTTAGTATAATTTGATAGAAATGAGGAATATGTGGAGCTTAAAATATCATTTCTTTTGCTTGATTAAATTTAAAAATTCGACAATCCTATTATACGCAATTGCATGTAAAATCTCATTAAAAACCCAAGTATGATAATATTTTCAGAATTTATTATCGGTCTTGATTTTATTTTCTCGACGTAATTTATTGTCTAAAAAAACATTGAAACCATTTATAAAGAATAACGAAAGGAGAGAATTATTACTTTAACTTCACTTGTAAGGCTATAATTCCGAATTGCGTACTCTTGGTAGTTGACACTTGACACTATATCTTAAAAACCAAGACGAAGTAATACATAGTGGTTAGGCAAAGAAGTTCTTAAAATGTTTTGGAAAGTCAAATACGAGACCAAGGTACTTACTCTATGCATATAGTATATTACCTATTTATCTTAAATTCGTGCCACACTAGTGGGAATAGCCATGTGTGTAAGAATTAAATTTTAATATTTGAACATTAGTTTACAAAAAGTTTGAGGAACTAATAAATGTCTAAAGAAAATTTAGTATTACTGGAGTTCAAAAGTAAGAGAGCAAAGTATGATAAAATGACAATTTATTTCAATGCTGTTAAAAATCTGGAAAGTTGATGAGATAAGTGTGTAACTTCTGAAAAGTGTATGGTTTTCTTTTTTCCCTCAGAGAGAGCTAGAGGTGTTTGTCGGTCGGTACGGTACGGTATTTAGATATTTCGGTTCGGTATTTTTGGTATTCGATTTCTTAAATTGCTATACCAATATCGTACCTAATTAAATTCGGTATGATTCGGTTTTTCTCCTTTAGGTTTTGGTTTATTCGGTTTGGTAACTTCGATTTATTCGGTTTGAATACTAACTAGTACATAGAGTCATAGACGGTAATATTCTTAATTAAAGTACTCGAAAGTACAAAACTAAAAACGTTTGTTGACAATAGTTTTGTCCAAAACCAGCAAATACCAACCCAGAGAGAGAAAATTGTACATAAAAAAATAAATTTGATCAATAGAAATGTCTTGTTACTTGCTTAGAGTTAATCGATGAACTTAGAGAATAAAAGAAAGTAAAATTTTAGATTTCTTATATTTATGTTATTAACTAATAATATGTGTATTGTGTAATATAATATATATTTCGGTATGATATCAGTATTTTATTTTAAAATATCAAATACCATACCTATTACCAATTTTTATAAAAAACTTAAACCAAATACCATATCGAATACCAAAATATCGAATACCAAATACCAAAATTTTCGGTTTTGATACAGTAATTCGATATTTACTAAATTACGCACGGCCCAGAGACAGCTATGAATCTCCGAAAGTTAAAATAGCTACGAGTCAATATTCCAACTTTATAATTTTCAACTAACCAAAAAGAGAAAAAGAAAATTTCAACTTCCCTTCCATTTTATGAAGCATTTAATAGGTGTTTATTTAGAAATAAATTTGGTTGAAACTTAATTTTTTTTAAGTCGTGTTAAAAAATAATTTTTAAAAGTTGTGGTTGTTTTGAACATACATTTTACTCGAAAAAAGTTGAATTTTTTTGAATTGAAGAAAATATTTCACCAAAAAACTGGCCCAATCATTTTTTGGAACTTAAATTTTTTTCTTCAATTCTTTTTTAAAAACTTTTTTAAAAACTGATCAAATTCTATAAACAAATTATATTTCGTTTAAAAAAAATAAAAAAAATCTATATCCAAATGAGAGCTTAATTTCCACGTTTTCCATTTAGGAAACTTTTGTAGTTGCCTCCATAAATTTAGTTTCCAATTCTTTGGTAGTTAACACATTCAATTTAATAAAAAGTAGTAGAGACATTATTTGGTCTTATCTTGATTTACCATAATTCTTTATGTAAGAGAAGTGAACAAAATATTACAGCGGTAAGTCGGTCGTGGTAACTTTCTTTTTAATTTACAGCGGTAACACCTGTTTTATCCAATTTCTTTTACTGTCTTTCACTCGGACAGTTTCCAGAAATGGTTACAGTTACAAAAATGTCAGTAAGCAGAAGACAGCACCAACGCCATTTTCCATTCATGAACCCCTAAATTGTTGCTCCCACTCAAAATATCATAACAAACCCACGTTCACATTATTTGTTAATCAAATGCCTCTTCAATTTTCAACTCATTACTGGAATCAGTAGCTGACTCATTGCTTCCTTCTTCCTCTGTTTCTACACCTTTTTCTGGTATTTGTTTTGCTTGCAATCCCATTTTTTGTTTGCTTCTTTTGAAGATATTACTGTTTCAATGAGTTTATGTGAAATGCTTTGAAGTTTTCTGAATTTTTCCTATTTTTACTAATTTTTCCCACTTTTTTCCCTTTTTTGGGTTCTTCATTTCTTTGCTGAGGATTTTCATTTTTGCATTTTGTGAACTGTTTTTCATACTTTGTGCATATTTGTTTTTGGTAGGAAAGCAGCTGGTTGTGTGGTGTGTGGTGAAGGATTAACTATAATCTAGTTCTCTGAAGTGGAAACGTGGAAGTTCATTCTCAAAATCGGTATGGTTTAGTTCCTTATTTTCTGCTTTTTTCTAGCATGAAAAACCCTAATGTGCTCTAAATTCTTTGTCTGTTGTAGCTTAGATTCATTTCGTTTTCTGAAATATGTTTAATTCTAGGAATAATCCCTTTATTCTAGTTCACCACCTTTTTTNGCTGACATTTTACTTATTGTTATTGGTATATTTTGCAGTGTTACAATGTAGTCTGAACATCGGGAGCGGATGTAGAGTGTAAGATATGTGTTAATCCGAACCAAGTAGCTTTGATTCGAACCTTGTATATGTGTTAAAAAGTTCACTATAAATGTGCACTAATAATGATTTTGAACCAAGTAAATCGAATGGGTTGTGGTAGAAACCGAACGCGAAATTGTATTGTTCAAATCCTGGATTAGACCGAGTTCTTACTTTTTACTTTTGGAGAACATGGAAGTTTCAGTCATTATCATTTAGAGTTTTAGGCTAAGATAGCAAGAAAGGACCCAAGTTTAATATCCATCAAGGTCATTAACAGAATTTCGTTAGAAGAATGTCGCATGACCAGTGTGGCTTCTTTTATTGAGTACTCATCTGTGAAGCTCAAAATTTTGTCTCACTTCTGGTTCGCCGCATAAAATAAAATAAGTTAAAAAATACCTAACCAAAAAGATTTTAACAATTTAAGTTCCTAAAACAACTCACACTAAAATATGGTAGAGGATCAGAATGTTATCCAACTTTAAATAATCATAGATTCATAGTATGTCACATCAAGCTTTTGCTTCTCCATTATCTATTTAATTTAATATATTGTGTTTGTTGTTTCAGCATTTTGCTTGCCAAAACAAGGATTCATTCATTTGGTGGAGGATGGTGTCATTCTCAAATGATGGTTTATCCGATGCATTGATCCAGTCGAAGAACCTGCTCCAGAGCGACTACTCCGCCTAGCCTATCTTCCTGCCCGCCCCCGGTTCTCTATGCTCGGTTCCACAACATGAAGAAGCGGCCATCAGAAAATGGTTATCACACCTTGGATTTTGGTGTTACTCCAAAACATAAAGTTCGGAAAGTCTGGGCTGTGCGGTATTTCCCCCCTGGTTGTGGTAGAAATGCTCCAAAAGTTGACTTGCGCCACAAGGAAAATGCTGTGGTCTCCATAAGTGAAAATGTTGCTGACGCGCTGGTGGCTCATGGTAGGAATGGTCCTAACACTGGGATTGAGTTCTGTTCTGTTGAAGTTGTGAACTGTCTCCCTGACGTGGAAGAGAATGAAGAATTGGATAGGTTGGTCGGGAATGCGTTAGCCAGAACCACGAGTCTGATAGAAAACAGGGTGGAAGAACCAACAAGTCATGCCAGATCTCTTGGATTTGAGTTGTCTAAAGATATTGAAAGTAGCGAAATGTCATCGCTCAAGAAAGCAAAAGTCATTCAGCGTGATGAATTGGTGAAGGAAGTCGATGGGGAGAAAAGCTCACTTTTGGTTGAAAATGTGGTCAGTGTGACTGATGGGGCAATTCCTGTTTGTTGTGTGAAAGCATGCTCACCGCCTCAGTGGCCAGTCAAGAATGGAAATGTTGCGGATAATATTTCCCCCTTGCCAAAGAATAAGTACTGCCAAAGAAGAGTCTTTGCTGTTCGTGACTTCCCTCCATTTTGTGGAAGAAACGCTCTGAAGCCAACCGAACAGGAGCGCTTGGGTGGTACTGAAGCAAGCAGGAGAGTGGTTTTGTTGGATAAGGAATTTACAGAAAATGAAGCGGTTGAGACTTCAAAAAATGTTATGGATACAAGGACATCGCACATGAAGTTGACTGTAAGTCGGGAAGCTGATTCTTTGAGTAAGATAGAGGTTGCTGGTTCCAAATGTAGCTTAATGGAACAAACAGTTTGTATTGAAGATCGAGAAGGTGTCCATGATAGTTATACTGGAAGGATCCAACTTGAAAAAACTTTAATTTTGCCAGAGACAATGACGAAAAAGGAGAATGATGATGCAGGAAAAAATGTGGGGAAGGTGAATATTGCATATTCACAGAATGAGTGTGAAAAGGTTACTACTGCAACACATGCTCTTGGTTCTGGAGATGAAATTATTAGGCCAATTGTGCATGGCTCGATGGCTGAACCCTATTGTCCATGGAAGCAAACTCATCTACATGGGCCGGGGAGCAGAAATGTGATTGTGTGTGGTCTGATGGCAGAGCCATACTGTTCCTGGAAGCAGATGAAGCAAACTAGTTTAGATGGTGTGACGAGTAGAAACCAAGTTCAAAAGCCTAACATGCATCGGCAGAAGAAATCCTTAGCTGTTGCCAGAAAAAGTATTCCAAAACCAAAATTTTCACCGAGACAGTTTGGCAGGACTAAATCAGGTTTCATTGGTGAAGTTGCGGAAGGATATTCAAATGCACTGGTTGCCAGCAACGATAGAGCTTGTGTTTTGAATAGGAAGGCACTACCTGAAGAATCTCCAATTGGACAGGGGCACTGTGAATTTGATGTGAATCTGCCACCTTTTGGTTCCAGCAGCAATGATGCTCGTAGTAAAGTCAGAGAGACTCTTCGTCTGTTTCAGTCTATTTGTAGAAAAATCTTGCGAGGGGAAGAATCAAATGGAGAAGTAAAACCTAAGCAGAAAGATAAAAAGAACAGAAGGATTGATATTCAAGCATCGAATTTTATCAAAGAAAAAGGGAAGGAAGTTAATACAGGACCCCGGATACTGGGAGAAGTTCCAGGAGTTGAAGTAGGAGATGCGTTCCAATACAGGGTTGAACTTGCTCTTGTGGGAGTTCATCGCTTATATCAAGCCGGTATTGATTTCCTGAACAATGGAGGAATGCTGGTTGCAACTAGCATTGTTGCTTCAGGGGGCTATGACGATGATTTGGGAGATGCTGATGAGCTGATTTATTCTGGGCAAGGTGGAAATTTGACTGGCAAGGACAAAATCCGTGAAGACCAGAAACTTGTGAAAGGTAATTTAGCCTTGAAGAATAGTATAGCTACAAGGAATCCTGTTCGGGTGATTCGTGGATCTAAGGCTGAATCCACAGATGGAAGAGCTAATTTGGTGACAACTTATGTGTACGATGGCTTGTACACTGTTCAAAATTATTGGACAGAACGAGGGCCACATGGTAAGATGGTCTTTATGTTTAAGTTGGTGAGAATTCCCGGACAACCAGAGCTTACTTGGAGAGAAGTAAAGTCATCAAGAAAGTCCAAAGTGCGTCATGGTGTTTGTGTTCCTGATATTACAGAAGGAAAGGAGTCACTGCCAGTAACTGCTGTGAACACAATTGATGGTGAGAAACCCCCACCATTCAAGTACATCAAGAGGATGATGTATCCGGATGGTTTCCACCTTGCTCCACCTAAAGGCTGTGATTGTATTGGTAGATGTTCTGATGCAAAGAGGTGCTCATGTGCAGTTAAAAATGGAGGTGAGATCCCATACAACCGCAATGGGGCTATTGTTGAAGTTAAGCCTCTTGTGTATGAGTGTGGTCCTTTTTGTAAGTGCCCTCCTTCATGCTATAATAGAGTGAGCCAACGTGGTATTAAAATTCCGCTGGAGATCTTCAAGACAGATACAAGGGGCTGGGGTGTGAGAGCTGTAACTTCTATCTCTTCAGGAACCTTTATCTGTGAGTATGCAGGAGAAATTCTTGAGGACAGAGAAGCCGAACAAAGAATTGGTAGTGATGAATATCTTTTTGATATTGGAAAGAACTATAGTGATTGTACTGATAACTCTTCTGGACAAGCAGACCTAAATGAGTTAGCAGATGAGGGTGGTTATACAATTGATGCAGCGCACTATGGAAATGTTGGACGATTTATCAATCACAGTTGTTCACCCAACTTGTATGCGCAGAATGTTGTTTATGATCATGAGGATAAGAAAATGCCCCATATCATGCTATTTGCGGCAGATAATATACCTCCCTTGAAGGAGCTTTCTTATCATTACAACTATTCTGTGGATCAGGTTTATGACTCTGATGGCAAGATCAAGGTGAAGAGGTGCTTTTGTGGATCTTCAGACTGTACTGGTAGGATGTACTAGGATTTGTAAAGTTTCGCTACTGTAGTTGAATGGAAGAATTACTCATGTCATTGTCTTTTTTTACATCTACAATAGTATTTCTTCTTGTTTGGTCTGAGATGCTATGTTATTATTTGCATGTTGGTTGTTCATGGAAACATAATGGAGCTACAACTCTCTTCTGTACCTACTGCATCTTGTTGATTTCATCAGAAGAAGCTTGTATAGGCTGACTAGTGTGATCCCAGTCAGAACCAGACATTTTTGCACCAGTACTCGGCCTTTTTGTTTGATCTTTTAGACGCTGTTTGAATCGGTTAATTTGCTTTCTCATCTCCTAATTACATGAATCAGGTTTCACTTTCCTCTTTCAGTTGCCAAGAGTAGCATTTTACATCCCTAGTGGAGGATGCGGGACTTCTGCGGTTTATTAAATTGCTCTCCCAACTGCTGTTGGCTCATACAAATATATATGGCTCTAAATCCTTGTTTCGATATGCTTATAAATGGAAAATTTGCTAAAATTAGAGGCTCTTTTTGTAAAGGTATTTCTCAAAATTTTCAATCCCTCCCTGAAACCAGATTCCTTGCCTAATGCTTGATATTTCATGGAAACTGAAGCTTACATCGAGGCTCATATAATCCGTTAATCGGGATCACATATTGCATTTTCCATATTCTCTCTAAAAAACTTGCATTTTTATTTGGTTTAATTTTGCTGTGGACAACTACTTATAGCAAGACAGTTTTCGTTTCCTTTCGAGTGTATCAAATTCAACCTTGTATTGCTGAACATGTCATCATTTTGAGGTACTTTTTGCTTCTAGCATAGTACAACTCGCAAGCACACATCTTAAAATGACAACATTTTTATAACGTGTAACGCCCAAGCAGCCGTGGCCGTGGTGGCCTAATGATACCAAGTATTGCAATTTAAGGAAATGTCAAGGCACACTACACCAATAACACAAGATACGACGATGTTTTATTTCATATTTTCTTTACAAGAATACACGAATTTCTGCCTTATTAACAAACAAACATTTGGTTAAACCACAATGGCTGATGACCTAGACAAACTTCTTTGACTCCAAACCATAACAAAGAAATTAAATTACAAACTAGTGAATTATACTTGTTCAGGGAATCTGAACGTCAGTTTCGTAGGTAGAGTCAGCCTTCCAGTGATCAGGGATCACAGTCTTATCAGATTGCACCCATTTGGTCTTTCCATCTACTTTTATTTGGATCTTCAGCTTCAGATTTCCCTTTGGTGGGTTGGACAAGTCAAACACTGCTCCATATGACCTCCTCATTGGTGTCCATTTGTAGCTTTTTTCCTGTATATATCAACCCAAAATTTTTACATCAAAAACCAAGAATTTAATTGATTAGTCAATCAATTCATTTTAGTATATCCTTTTGTTCAATGGTCAATGTCAAAATGTCATTTTCCAAATTAGAGCTTATACATATTAATATCTGGCCACCCAACTAAACTGCTTAAGTTAAGAATACCTAACGAATATATAATAATAAGTATTATCGATGTATAGTGTGTTAATAACCATGTATAATTAATATATAATTTATGTATATCGGCTAGGAAAAGTATATAGTGAATCTAACTGGCTATTTGTGTAAATATCTCAAACTTAATCATCAAATTTAAGTTTAAAAAATTGGGCATATAGAGTATATACCTCGTAGATTTCTACAGCTAGGATATCAGCGTAACCACCGTTGTTCAATAGAAGTATGGCAAGGTAGCCATGGTAATTGCTATGTTCATTGACCTTGATAATGAGATTGTCATATTTGCAAGAAACTCTTTTATAGTCTACATCGACCACGCCCTTTGGGAACAACATGTGAGCTAACTTAGGATGTTTAGCCATTTTGGCGAAGGCATCTGAGCTAAGAATGAAATCAGTTCCTGGCCCTTCTCCACTGTCAGTTACCTTCACCTTAACTCCCACGTCACTGCATAGTGCCTTGTCCTTGCACCACACCTGTTAATATTCCGTGTCGAAAATACAGGGTTAAGTTGAAGGTATAAAAGATAATTATTAAACTCTATCCGGCTCTGCTTGCAATTATCGATCTTAATTAGAATCAACTATATATACTTTGTGAAACACACATATATAGACTGTAGGAAATTTTGGTTCCACCGTAAGGGTGAAAATAGCACGCGTTAGCCAATTTTTGGACTGACAATTAAAAATTAATCAGTGTTTGCAAATTTATTGAAATAAAATAGCCACTATTTTGGTGAAACACGGGAAGTTCCAGCATAATATGATATGCTAGATTATGGAGCTCATGCGTATAAATTTCCAGCATATTATGTTGGAACTCCAACACATTATGAAATTCAACACATTATGTTGGAATCTCATATGTAAAATATTCGAACTCCAGCATATTATGCTGGAATTTTTTCGGATTTTAAGGGTATTTTTGTTCAAATTTTATCTTTACATGAAAAAGTAACTAAGTTTCGCCTAGTTTTGAAACTGCGCCTATTTTTCAATTACCAGTTGTATATTCAATTACCAATTATAAATCTGGCTATTTTTTACTTTTTCCTATATAAGGGGATGTTTTAAGGCCCATTAGGGTTATTAGTTAACCTTAGTATTCTCTATATAAGTACACTTATATAGTACAATAAAATATACTCTCAGCAGTATTTTTTTACGCTCTTTCTTCCTCAATTCACTTAGGGTCTGGACTGTGAAATTAGGTAGTCGCTTCGACATACCGTGACAACAACCACCATCCATCCAATTCGTTTGGTTTTGCTACGAGGAACAAGTAAGTTCTCAGCTTTACGTTTTACAAGCTATCTATTTAGTATAGAGTAATGCAATCCTTTATAGACTTTAATTATGAAAAAGTAACATCCAAGTATTTAGTGCTACCTGATAACATGCACCACAACCAACTCCGTTCTTATAGAGTTTCCAGGATGCGGCAGTAACCAACCCATCATTAACATATCTGCCATATTCTCCATAACCACAAGCTCCAGCTGATCAAATATTTCAAAATACAAATGTTAAATAAAGCAATTGTAGAAGAAACTAAAAACAGTTGTGTAGAAAAAGTCAACTTACTTGGTGTTCCTTTGCCATCGGAAGTCTTATAAAAGGTAGCTTTGGAATCATAGCTTTGAGTTCCGTAGCAAAGTGCAGGCAAAAGCAAAATCATGCATATCATAAGAGTGGAAAAATGGTTGACAGAGATAGCCATGTTTTTTTAATTGTGCTTTCTAGAAGATAGACTTGAAATGGATGCTAAAAATGTAAAGAAATTAGTGTTGGATGATGAGAAGTGCGGGAATGGAATCCCTATTTATAGTTGAGTGTCCTAAGGGAAGGTATTGACTTTGCTTCATGGCCAACTTTGTAATAGTCTTAGTTAGCTTTAATTTGATACGTAACCAAATATTCAAAGTACCATATGGTTTTGGTCTTCTGACCCAAATATAAAATTTGGATTATCGGATCATGGAAAAAACTTTATTTTTTTCCTTCTGATTTTAGTATAAGCTTAAGATTTCACCACCTTCTCCGAAGCAGCAAATAGCTAAGGATGATGTTAATTCCCATAGTTTTTAAAATTAGATTAGAGATACTTGGTGCTAGAATAAGCCATTATTTCAAATTAATCAATGGGTGGCGTTTTCTTTTCTAACGTACGTTTGCTTGACTATATATTATCTTAAAATCTGGTTTGGGAACAGCTCATTGTTTGGGAATTTAAAGTCATATGTCGTACTGGAATGTCTTTAATCTTTATTAATTTATTGTTTAATAGCTAGACTTGTAATTTAAGTTATTTTAGACTAGCTGGTATACACTTCTAATTATAATTTCTGGATAGTAGGTCATGCTCTCTTCGAGCTAATTTATTTAAGCTAATTTATAAAATCCCTATTTATAGTCGAGTGTCCTAAGGCGGGTATTGATTTTGTTTCATGGCCAACTTTGTATTAGTCTTGGCTTTATCCAAAAATAAATATTCAAAGTACCATATGTTTTTGTTCTTATAAAATAGAGAAAATGACCCTCTATAGCCCATTAAAATTTTAATAGCGCATGTTTTTCCTCATTGACACGAAATGGCTCCCCCGGCCCAAACATATTACATCTAATAGCCCGAAATGTCTATTTTGTATATTTTTTATATAGTGACAGTCTATTTAGTATATATTTTGTATAGTGACAGTCTATTTTATATATAAAATGTATAGTGTCAGTCTATTGTATATAAAATATATAGTGGCAGTCTATTTAGTATTATTTTGTATAGTGACAGTTTATTTTGTATATATTTTGTATAGTGACAGTCTATTTAGTATATTTATTGTATAATGACAGTCTATTTTTATATAAATTTTGTATAGTGATATTCTATTGTATATAAATTGTATAGTGACAGTCCTATACAATTCCTCTTGCTTTCTTTTGTTTCTAGTTGGTTGTAATAGATTTGCCTACAACCTTGAATTAATGTGAACCTCATTGGTTGAGGTATAGAAGCTACATACAGAATTGAGGAAGATGACAGGTACAACATTGGCATCATAAATCAAAACTCCAAAGGTGTCATACTGCTCATGAATGTGAACATTTCATCAACAATGTACAATATAAAGAAAGCAAAGACTATTTGTTCGACAAACAATGGACCTTGTCGCCTCAATCTGTCATACCCTTTTACCCAATATGTTGTTCTGGCAACACATGATACAGTAAGTACCCAACTAGTATATTTTTACAAAAACTAGAAAAAGACCTAATAGGAGAATACAACTTCTTCCTACAATAGGAGGAAGAGTTTTTGAAACTCAAACACCGGCGACCCTCCATTAAATCCAGCGACTCTTTTTTCTCATTTTATTTACTGTTTTTGGGGCTTTTGATATTATAAAAATCTAGATCTAAAAAATGGTTTGCTTGCTATTTGGATTTCGGCAGATTTGGCCGGTATATAACTTTTCCTACGACCGTGAATTTTTCGGCCACTGCTACGACCGGTGAAGTTTTCCGGCTAAACCATTTTGGACCGAAAATCATTTCTCCAGTGAACCTGTATTTGTGCTTGTGGGTCAGATGTATAATTCGGTGGCTAGCCACTAGAA